TTAAATGTCACAACATAACAGTAACTTCATGATGACTACTCCAAGAGGAAGACCACGAGCATCAACATTTCTCTATGGAAAGAGAGGCTTATAGCTGATAAATCTATCAAGTTTCTCTAGTAATTGTCTGTTCTATGCAAATAATATAAGAATGTATACATCAAAGATGGAATTGCAGAAGATGTGTTTGGAAGACATCCTAGGCAATAAATTATACTTGCCCTAGAAATATGACGCTGACATTTGTATTTGCCACACGAACAAATTAATTCATTTGAATAATAAACAGCTAAAAAAAAGGCTAACAATGAATGTAATGTATGCAAAATTTTCATTTCTTGGAGCTTATTTAAAATTTGAACTATATATAAAAATCAGCTTCAATTTAACTTCTATTTCTTCATAATGTAATATTTCAGTTATTTGTGGGAACCAGGAGAAAGCCAAGCTCTTTGTGCCAAGATCTTTTTTTATTATGTTCCGTTTTCTATTTTAAAGTTTTGAGGCAGTCGCATTCAGAGCCTACCACAAATGTAATAATCAAAATTAATTTCATCACCAAGGAGCTACTGTATTTTGTTGGGTAGTCTCCATTTTAAAAATATTTCAGTAGGCAACTGAATCCTTTTGAATAACTGAAACATCTATTTCATGTGCAATAGTTATGAAGACTAATTGAGAAGCTGAGATGATGTCAAGGTTTGTCAGAGTAACGGATCAAATACTAAAAACTATCTTCTACAGAACACTGGTTTCTTGAAAGCTTTAATTTTAAGAATGACAGCTGATTTTTTACTGTCTTAACCAAATAGGGTGAAACAATAAGTATAAAAGCTAATACAACTTTTCTAAACTTATATATTTATTTAAAAACAGGGTTTTTGTTTTGTTTTGGTTTGGTTTTTTTGGCGGGGGTGGGGAAGAAGGTAGCCCTGGCTATGATGGAATTAGCTTTGTAAACCGGTCTGCCTGGAACCCACAAAGCCCTCTCTGCCTCTGCCTCTGCCTCTGCCTCTGCCTCTGCCTCTGCCTCTGCCTCTGCCTCTGCCTCTGCCTCCTCTGCCTCTGCCTCTGCCTCTGCCTCTCTGCCTCTCTGCCTCTCTGCCTCTGCCCCCAAGTGCTAGGGCTACATGACAGGCCTGTGTTGTCATGCCTTTCTTTCCCCTGTGTTTTTGAGTTGCTGAAAATATCACTTTGGCAAATGATAGGAAGAGCCAGGTTTTAGAAAAGAAAATTCAACCAGGTCACAGCAGAGTTGGTGTGATTCACACTGTCTTCAAAAACTAGCTCTTATTTCTAACACAAGGAAGTAATTCAGAAGCGAGGAGAGTTTAGGTAATATTAGGAAAATGATTCTGACAAAGATTACCTCTGTTTTCCTGTTGCAGCATGATGGCCTGGACTTAAGTGTATACATATGTGTGTTTCCTGGTTACATGTCTTATAGTATTTCTTTAATTAAAAATTATGTTAAAAAAGGAGCCGTTCAGTAATGCAAGGATAATTGGTGTCATTTAAATTATATATATTAAAAAAACAAAACTATGTATTGCAGTATATCATAAATAAAAAGTTAAGCAGAAGCACTGGATGACAACATTATCTAGATATTAATTTGGTATGTTTATTGCTTCTTTCTATACTTTTGGCTTCAGCTTTGACTTGGTTATAGAACTCTAGAAGTGGGACATAAGACATGCGGCAGCCATTTATTCTGAGTGATTGACTGCCTTGCGGTGGGAACTCATGAAGTCAAAAAGGAGCAACAGGCAGACAGCAGGGAAGCGAACAGCAGACCAAAGCTTACTCCTGTCCTTTCACAAACCAATTATTCTTTAAATTTTACTTAGCTTTCCTAGAACCCAAGAATATACATATTTTAGTATATTCTGTAGTTAAGTGCTCAGAATTTACCTGAGCACTAAATGAGCCTCAGATTAGAGGCTCATTTCAGATGGTAGGGAATAACTGAATTTTTGACATTTTGTGAGAACTGTCTTAGCAATGGTAAAGAGGGCATCTGCGTGCCACAGGGCACATTAGCCTTTTCAGCTACATTACAGGCTGGTGGAATCCTCCTTAGATGTGATGAGTCTCTGGCAAGTTTTCATGCTTAGAGGCATGTGTGAGCATGAGGTGGGCAGGGCTCTCTAGGTCCTTATCTCATCTAGACGACAGTCTTGCTCAAACTTGGATAATATTCGTAATTTTCACTGTGATCAAACTTTCCCAGGATTAAAATGGCATGAGTCAACAGTGAACTCTTAATTTAAAAAGAAATTCTCAGGCCATTTTAATCTAATCTGGTTTTCAATTATAAACATCTAGCCTTAAGGACTGAAATAACTTCTCTAGATATCTATTACTCTGGAGGGAAAAATATACCTGTCGTTTATATGTGTGTTTGAGGAACCTCTACAATGATCTCTCAGAACAGCGCTCTCCAGAGAAGAAAAATCTTCCATGGAATTTTGATTTAGCTTATTAATTTCCAATTGAAGTTTTAAGAAATAGAAGCAGAGAGAAAGCAATGTTTCTGATAGGCAACTTGGTGGCTGGATTTTTTAAAAGAAATGTATTAATGCAATTTAGTAAAACTCTTAGAAGTTTCCAATTGGTATACAATTTCTTTTGAGTTCCTGTCCACTTATCTGGATATCTTGTTCTCTTCCTCATTCAGCCTATTTAGTCCAACTTGCCCCTATTGTCTAAAACAAGTGGCCTGTCAGAAGCAAGGTCCTATAAAAGTTAAGCAGAAAAATAAGGGGTAAGGATGGTAGGGCTTTGTGAGTCCCTTTCAGTATGCTCCTTGGTAAGCTTGAGTCAGAATTTCTTCAGCATAATTTTGACTGTACTTCAAATCATAAATACTAGAGTGTATATTAAATGTAATTCCCATGCCACTGCCTTTCTACTTTGGGATTTTAATAATGTGCATGAGGAATTCTTGTGCCAAAAGTAAGAAAGCTTCCGAACAAGATATGTTAAAATGTGGCATTTCATGATCTCCCCTTTTAGTAAGTGCCTAAACTTCCTCTCCTCCAAAGAGAACTTGCTGACTCAGTGGTGTTCATAAGGATACAGCTTGCAGCGCATGGCAAAGGTGGATGTGCTACTGGCTGGTGGGTTGCCTCCACACTGATGGAAGTATTTCAGAATCCAAAGCAAAGTGTTCACCATTCCGGTTCTTAGTGACCACAGCTGGGCTTGGTGACTAACGTCAAGGTCCAGAGGAAAACTGACAGCAGCAACAACAGATCAACAACAGCTGATTCAAGATAGTCATTGAGACGCTAACATGATCCGTCCTCCCGGAGGTCTCTAACCCTAGCTCTGGACTCTTCTTCCTCTCTAGCACAAATGCTGAGTTTCATCCCTTTGCACTGGGCACAGCACAGACCGAATCAGTCCAAATAACTCCAGTCATTTGAACTCTGAGCTGTCTAGGGAAGCCAAATCCTTCAGAGAATTAATAAAAACAGGCTGCTCCTGTCTCGTCTTGCACACCCTGGACGGAGACTTACGTTAGCAGAAGTAGAATCTGAACTAATCAGAAAACTCTCCGCATGACTTGATCTAGATTGAAACCTGACTAATGCTTTCTGCCCTTAGTGAGCCACTGTTCCTGCCTTCGGAAATCAAGGCACTTTTAAGCACAGTTACATCTTTAAAAGCATTGTTGCCCCTCCTAGACTTGTTGAAAGTTCTGCAGACACCAGGAAGAGCTAAGGGAAACCTTCTCCAGGACTGTGTTTCTCGACCTGTTTTGTTCTACAGTTCCTGCTAACTAGGGTTGCACTCGGCAGCACTTCCACATTTACCAATAAGAGACCAATCTGTCCAAGCAAGGGCTCGCAAACACAAATGAATGTCATGAAATTATGGCTCCAGTAAAAAACAAAACAAAACAAAAATCAAAAAACAATAGACCTGATGACGGACTAAATTTCCCATTTTCAGTTGCAGAAGAAAATGTGAAATCCAAACAAGGTGCAAAGAAAACAATAGACAACCTTTCACAGGAACGGCCTCTCAACATTTCCTCATCTCTGTGATAAAGCAATAAACATGGGGGGGGGCGCATTGAACTCACTACATAGTACACCCCTGGGACTGTTTTCTCTTGAGATGGGACAAAGACACTCTAAGGATGAACAAGAAGCATTGCCCCTAATGAGGATTAGTTGAGAGGTGTAAGTCAACAGCACAAGATTAGGAATGTTTGACGTGGTTTATCTGAGTGTTAAAGGTGCAGTACCCATTTCTGAGGCTTAAGCAAATAGTCTAGGTAATAGATTTCTATTGTATGACTTCTCTTACTACTTTTTAAGAAAAGCTCGCATTTGACTTTTTCATTTCATGTTTGAGTCATCTTTTGCTAGAACCAATATTCTTTACGTGTTTGAACAAAGTACAGTAATGACACGCCAGACAGCATGTATCAAAGAGAGGCAATCACATAAATTGCTACAATATTACTATTCTCACAGCATCATTTTTTTTTAATTTTACTTTTTATCATCTATGATATTAGCTAAAAACAAATCTGACTTGGTTGAGTACAGGGGCTCCCAGAGAGGGAGCTGTACTAAAATGGCCTCCCAAAGCAATTCCCAATGAATATCAGTGTGGAAAGGAATAATTAGATGGGGGAAATTTAACATTTTGTATTGCAAACTTTGGGGGAGGTACTGGGTATTGGATCCAGAGTCTTGCATGCGGTAAACACATGCTCTACCACTGAACTACACTGTTAGCCCTTGGTATATCAAAGATCTTAGACAGCCACTAGACATGCCTCATAGAGAATTCTTTTTTTTTTTTAAATTAAGGTTTCTAGACTATTTATGATCTCTGAGGCTGTAAAGAAGGAGGGTTTGCTACACCTTTGACTTCCAGGCTCGTGTGTTCATGAACAACAAAGGGCGAGGGATGGAAATAGGTACCAAGACGGGCAAGAGAAGACGGAGGAGACAGAGAGACCAGGTGACAGGGAACAGCTAGTTTCCCAGCACAGACACCAATAGACAGGTAGCTTTGACACTGTACCTAGAGAGGCTGCCCTCGGCGGCCAGGCCCTGGGAGTCATCGAGGACATTAGGTTCACTGCAGGAGGGGTAGGGAGATGAAGCATTTAGGGAAAGAAAATGCAAAAAGAAAAAATAAAAAGAGAAAAAAGAAAAGGAAAGGGGAAAGGGAAGCATGCAATTTTCTGTTTCCAAGAACTGAAAATAAATTTAACAGAACAGGGAAGGAAAAGGAGACAGTCAACCATTTCACCTTGTGCTGGGTTTGTCAAGACATAGGACTCAAGGCAATGGGGGAAGGAAAGACTTCGGATGGATACGACTCTCAGAGGAGCAGTCTGTTTATTGGTCAAGAGTTAAAATGAGTCCAAATGGACACATGAGCTCTAAGCTCTGAAACGCATTGCAGAATAGATCTGTAGAAGATGAATCCATGATTTCTTTGGTAGCCATTTGGCTACGTGGTTATTATTTTTAACTTATATTATGGACACAATATTTCAATGACCAGACATTTTCTTGTATTTCCTAACATTACCGCACAGAAACCACTTACCATGAATGGCCACAACTAAAGTCTGGAAACTGATGCCATTAAGAAAAGCAAAGAAAGAGCCCAATTCCCCCTGCTAATTTTGCAATGGAAATGTCAGTAAACAAACTGAAGGTATCTTCAAAACTTTACAAAGAACTCACATTTACCTCCCTAATCTACAGTCTCTGGTGACTGAATTGTTAATCTAACAGAAGCCTGTCAACTGGTGAGCAAATAATAGTTTGCCCAGTTATTTGAACGCAGATGAAGTAAGCAGTGCTGTATTTTATTCACATTCCCCTCAGGCCTAGCACTGAGATAAGCAACCATAGGCATTCAATACATATGTATTAAGTTGTATAGATGTAAGCATCTACAAAACTGAAGAGACTATTCCCAAAGAACTGACTGTAAACTTAGTCTCTGTCCCCAGGAAGAGAATAATTTTTTGTCATGAAGAAAGTGTTCCCTTCTCCAATTTTCCAAAATGTAATTCAAGAACAAAGTGATTCGTTATAGTATCTTTTAAAAAAAACTCCTTGGATATGTTTATACTAGATAAAATTTGTCCCTGCAAGTAAGTTGGTCTATTATTATGCACAGAGAAAGAGAATTAGTAGTTTGGCTTATTTTGAATAGGTTGAAACCTCTCTAATTAAAATTCCTATTCTAGTTTCATTCTCAATACAAACGTGGATAATTAACAACTTAAAATAAATCATGTTACTAACATTAGTTGCTTGTGTTACTTTTATCTGGACACATTATTTGGTTCTTTGGTTACACGTTTTATTTATAAAATCTTTCATGCTTAAAGGGAAATTATCAAATGTTAGGTTATATGAACTATATATTGAGCGGTTTGGGTACAATATAATTACTCCAGTATATAAATCAGACTAATTTACACATAGTCATATATACCTACTAATATTACAGTCTATGTGGAAATCGTACTACAGTGAGTGTAAGGGTATAAACAACAGTGCTGGGGATACGGCTCGGTTGCCTAGCATACGTAATGCTGTGCGTTAAACTCCTCCAGTGAAAAATATAAAATAACACACTCAAAATCAAGCCACACCAATTCTCTGAAAGAATACAGTTCTTGAAATGAAAAATATTAGTTGTTTAAAAAATAGATTAACTTTTATGTTGATATTTTCTATTGTAATTTTATTGAAAATATGTAAAGTTCAAATATGAGTGTTTATTTAACTACAAATTTAAGTTTCAATCATGTATTATTGTTTTTCCCAATTATAAAATATTTTTTTTAAAAAGCTAAGGGCCCCTGAGTGGGCTTTTAAAATTACATTCTTATATAGCAGAGAACACCAAGAGAAAATGGTTTAAATGGTTTAATCACTGAGTCTTAGAGTTATTGATTCAGTAGTTCCCCTTCGTATCATTTTAGCCTAACTTATCTCAAAGTGGGGAGACTGAGCTATATCCAAGTGGCATGCCAATGGCCCACAGTGTCAGAGGCATACTTTCTGCTTGGTAAGGCATTCCTATGTGCAGTTGAACACTAATGATATTACAGAAGGCTAAATGCCTAGAGTATCAAATAAAGCTGGCCTACTCTTGCCAAGAAGCCCTCACTAAATCTGACGATAAGGATGTTGTTGACCAGAATAAAAGGATTATATTTTTATTTATGGATATCTCAATGAGAGGCAATACCTTGATCTCATATAGTATAGTAGTCTCATTTGAAGCCTGGCTTAGAAATCTGCAACTATTACCCATAGGGGCCTACTTGAAAATGCTTTGTTGAGCAGTTTCTCTAGAAACATGACCCATGCTTGTTCTCCTTCAGTCTTTAGAGGATAATGTGGCTGTCTATGCCCCCAAATGCAGAGTATAAGACAGTCGTAGCCTTTTACCTTTGGCTGGGTAACATGCCCACCTCAGCCTGAGGTGCAGACATGCTGGAGACGTGGCTGGAGAACCGCCTCCTTCCAATGGCGCTCAGGAGACAAGCTTCCTGTTCACTTACCACACTGGGCATGCTTACAGAGTCATCTGAAAGCGGGGAAGGAGTCACGTGTTACAAAACCACGATACCTTTCAGAAAATCCCAACCAAAGCTGTACTTGGGTTCTGCCCGTGTCCTGGGTACAACTTCAGGGCTGTCTCTAGGGCTAAAGGGTCACAGCTCCCTCTGTACATAAAAAACCAAAACAAACAAAAAACCCCAAACCTACCATCCCAAGTGATCCAATGATAATTCTTCATGTCTACAAATTTCTTATCCTCTCACACTAGAACAGCCTTCACAAAACACATGTAAACTTCTTACTTACTTTTATCAGTACAAACCAATGTGTACCTGCAAACCAAAGATTTTAGAAAAGCTAGACTGTACATTAACATTTAGACAACTGCAGCAATGGTTTAGTTGGGGGTTTGTTTTCAAATAAGTCAGTTACATTTCCTTGGCATTCAAAAAAACCATTCAGTTCTTTCAATGATTTCCAGCCTGCTGTGGGAAGGAACATTTCAGATACCTTAGGGAAAATGTTTGGAAATTATAACATCTATAAATATTGGAAAAAAAGTATTTTGACCAAAAATGAGCCCCTTATATGATAGAGATATTTAATGGAAACTCGCCAGTCTTTTGCTTTTAACCCCTACTTTTCAGCGTACATGTAAAGCAGTTTTTGATCTGCTATCTTTTTTTGTAACAGTAAATCTTTAGCACACACGTTCAGAAATTCCCGGGATAACTGCATTACAGGGGAGTCTTCAAACTCAAATTTAAGTTGTTTCTTCTCAAGCGTCATTTTAATTTCTTCCTGGCTTCTATAGACAGCTGGTATTTTTTGAGTACTCTATGCATGCTCTGCCCACTATTCTTTGACAAATAGGACCTTGTGAATTCTGACCATTCCTCTAGCCAGGATGCTCAGGAAACAGACGAATATGTGATTTTCTTACAATTTAACAAATTTCCAAGGAAAGGTCAGATATATACTTTTTCCCCCAAATGTTAAAGTATATCAATTTCATTTTGAATGCTCTTTTAAGATAATGTCAAAGTGGGCAGTCCAGGAAATGGCTAGAAGGGCAGGAATCCTTCCTAGGCCCTTGCTAGCGTGGCCAGGCAGGCTGTATGGCTTGCCTGGGTTCTGTGGTGTGACCTACTTTCCTCATCCTCCTCGTCAGTCCGACTGAGGGTGTCTTGTGAAGCCTGTTGGGATGGTTCGCTGTCCTGCTCCCAGACGGTGCCTGTGCCTGTGTTGGAGCGCGACATGGTAGCCAGGCTCAGGCGGTAGGCAGAGGTGGATGTGCCCACCGTGCTGATGGAGGTCTTTCCTTGGTAGGCTGGAGTTGAGAGACCAAAGGAAATGTGTAAGGCAGTGAAAAAAAAAAAATGTTTGTTTTAAAGTTCTCCTTGTCCTTGACTTTTTTTTTTTTTTATAACTCCAGACTTAAGGAGTAATTAAGATAAAGTTGCCCAAGAAGTTGGAGAAAAAGTCAGTATTGGCCATTATGTGTACTTCCTTATGAAGGCCTGAAATCCTTAGCAAAGGGAAAAAGGCTTTTGAAGTTTCTCCTCTTAGTGTGTTTATTTTTTCTTTGCTTAGGCTAATTGGATATCAAGTAATTTTGACTTGAACTGCTGATCGCAAACCTTAGTTTTACCATGACATGTACATTGCCCACATAAGAATACCGGAACAATAAATTTTCCATGTTTGTTATGAACCTAAAATCAAAATCATGACACAAAATCAGGGTCTCTTCTGGAGACCTCAGCATTAGAAACTCCTCAGCTCCGAGGCAGATGGTTTCATCAGAGTCAGCAGGATAGCTGAATGGCCAATTTGTAAATATTACCAACATTGCATTTTTTAGTATTTGTATTTTGAACATACTGCAACAATAGTAAAAACTCCATACTGTTACATATGGGTGATGACTGCCCTCTAATGGTGAATAGCAATTTAATTTTCTCCCTCTTCATAGAACTGCAGGGTATGCAATGCAGACTCAAGGGGGAAAGCTCTCAAATGAAGTACCTCCCCCCTGTCAATTTCACTTAGCTCCTTCCCATTGCAATTGGAGAAACATTAAGAGGCTTTAGAAAACATAAGACAAACTTAGTGTAAAGTCACCTCACCAGCTTCACTTTTGATGTATATAAGCTGTTTGATTCTCTGAGTATCAATCCTCCTCCCAACTCCCCCCGCCCTTTTTTTTCTGATATTGGACTCACTTTATAGACTAGGCTGGCCTCAAACTCACAGAGATCTGCCTGCCTCTGCCTCCCTGAGTGCTGAGGTTAAAGGCGTGCTTCACCACGGCCGGAAACGTTCTCCCTTTTAAATTGGGCTTTGAAAGATAGGTTTTGCAGATATTTGTGTGGATTATAGGAAATCAGACCTATGAAGTCATAACAGATGCTCAATAAAGTGAACCCCTCTATCAAAAAGGGAATGAAAGAATGTAAACACCTTTCCCCCCTATTAAATATTTAAGAGCTTAACCACTAAAAAGAATATTTAAAAATATCCAAGAAAAGAATGTAGCTGAATTTCCATGATAGACATTTGACGTTTGTCTGATTGCTAGACACAGCTGCATGCTCAAATCTACCGGTCTGTTAAGAAAGCTAGTACAGGCGTTCATGGCCTACAAAAGAGCAGGGAGTTGAGCAGGGGATTCTTTGTGGATCGTGAATCCCATCTGCCGGACTCAAAGGACACCACGCATACTTACCTGATCCACTGTGGACTGCCTCTTTCAGAATTTTCAGTTCGCTGTTGAACTCGGCAATGAGCGAGCTTTTGCATAAAGGGCGGGGGATGAAGCGCCGCTCCAGCTGGTCAGCAATATGTTGGCGGGCAGAAAGCTCTTCATGATTCTCTGCTGGTTGGGCCAGCAGCTAAAAGGAAGACATTGCATCCTCAGGACCCCGATTTCCCCATCTGTAAACTGGACTAGCTTTGATGCCTACCCACTTCCTAGATACAGGAAGAAAAGAAGGCGATGCATAGCAAACAGCAGTGCCAGCACAAGGGCATTATTTAGAGTCTCTGCCGGAAGAAACCGGGGCACAAGAAGAATAAAAGCGTACATACGTACTCATGAAAGGAAAAGTAGAAGAAGAGAAGAAGGAGGAGGAGGAGGAAGAGGAGGAGGAGGAGGAGGAGGAAGAGGAAGAGGAGGAGGAGGAGGAGGAGGAGGAGGAGGAGGAGGAGAAGAAGAAGAAGAAGAAGAAGAAGAAGAAGAAGAAGAAGAAGAAGAAGAAGAAGAAGAAGAAGAAGAAGAAGAAG